GGGTAGAAGTAAAGATGTAGTTGGTACTGCATATTACTTCTTGTTCGGCTTCTGAGCCTAATTCCTTCCATCCTCACTTATTTAACACTGACAATGTGCCTAGGCAATGGAGATACATGATACATGAAAATCCCTGCCTTTGTGAAGCCAACATTCTAGAGGGGGAGACTGACAAAACAAATTGTAACTTCTATGAGGAGGCTGTGGGTACTATGGAGGGCAAAACATGGAAGGAGATAGGATTTGCAGGATGGGGTGGGGAAATGTGGGTTGCAATAAGTTAAGATTATACTGATACAGTGACATTTGAGCAAAGTTTTGATGGAGATGAGGGAGGGAACTGTGTTGACATCTGGAGAAAGCTTTCCAGTTAGAACAGCAAGTGCAAAAGTCCTGAGGCAGAGGGAGCATGCTTGGCAAGTTCAGGGCACAGCAAGAAAGGCAGTGTGACTGGAACAATGTAATCAATCTTACCCTATTGGGTTGCTGTAACAAAATGTCATGAACTGAGTGGCTTTTAAACAACCGAAATTTATTTCTCACAGTTCTGAAGGGTGGGAAGTCCCAGATCTAAGCAGATTCAGTGTCTGGTAAGGGCCTGCTTTCTGGATTATAGACTGCACCTTCTTGCTGGCCCTGACATGGTGAAAGGGTCAAGGGGTCTCTCCCAGGCCCCTTTTATAAGGGTGCTAATGCCAGTCATAAGGGTTCCACCTTCATGACTGGATCACCTCCCAAAGGCCCTGTCTCCTAATACTATCAACCTAGGGGTTAGGATTTCAACATAGGAAATTCATTTCCCTATGAATTTAGTAGGGAAGGGATACAAATATTTAGACCATAGCAGAGAGTAAGAGCAGATGAGAAGAGAAAGAAGGGTGGAAGGTGGGCCTTATAGGCTATATGAGGACTTTGGCTTTTTCCCTAAGACAGTTGAGGAAACATTTGGAAGCATTTTTTGCCTTTCCTTTTTAAATTTATTTCTTTTTTACTTTTATAGGTTTAGGGGCATAAGTGCAGTTGTGTTATTTAGATACATCGTGCAATGAAGTCTGGGCTTTTAATGTACCCATTACCCAAATAGTTTACATTGTACTCCATTGGTAGCATCTCATCCCTTACCTCCTTCCACACTCCTGTCTTTTGAAATCTCCAATGTTGATTATTCCACTGTGTGTCCATGTGTAACCATTTTTTAGCTCCCACCTATATGTGAGAACCTGCAGTTTTGACTTTCTGTTTCTAAGTCATTTCATTTAGGATAATGACCTCCAGGTCTATCCATGTTGCTGTAAGAAACATGATTTCACTTTTTTTATGGCTAAGTAGTATTCCATATATACCGCATTTTAAAGAAATCTATTCATCCATCAATGGACATTTATGTTGATTCTTATTATGAATAATGCTGTGATAAACATGAGTACAAATGTCTTTTTGAAGTGATTATTTCTTTTCCTTTGGGTAAACCAATAGTGGGATTGCTGGATCAAATGGTAGTTCTACTTTTAGTTTTTTGAGAAATCTCCATACTCTTTCCCATGGAGGTTGTACTAATTAACGTTCCCATCATCAGTGTATAGGCATCCCTTTTTCTCCACATCCTCACCAACATCAGCTTTTGTTTTTTTGCTTTTCAATAATGGCCATTCTGACTGGCATAAGATGGTATTTTATTGTGCTTTAGAGAATTTTGAACAGAAAAGGGATGTGATCTGATCTGTGTTGAAAAAGAAAACTCTGGCTTCTGTCCTGAGAATGAACAGTATGGAGGCAAGTTAGAAGTTTATTACAATAATCCAGGTGAGGCATTAAGAGGCCCTGGGACAGGGTGGTGTATAGGAGAGTGATGTGGAATGGCTGAATTCTGGATATATTTTTGAAAGTGGAGACCAGAGAGTTTCCTGAATGATTGCATATAGGTTGTGAGAGCAAGAAAGGAAGGGATGTTGACTTGGATTCCTAAAGACTGCTCTTCTTGATGTGTAGTTGAGGCTCTCTTTGTACTACTCTGTGTTTAAGTGACCTGGCAGACTAATCTCTCTATCCCTCCTCCTGTAAAACACAGACTGATGCAAAAGACACTTGACTTTCATGGCCAAGAGGCTCCTCTGTAGAACACCCCTCTATCACTACCTCCAACTCCTGTTCCCATCAAATGAGTACAATTCATGTGCCAAAAATTGTTCACTGGGTGCAGTGGCAGCACTTTGGGAGGCCAAGGCGGGCAAATCATGAGGTCAGGAGTTCGAGACCAGCCTGGCCAACATGGTGAAACCCTGTCTCTACTAAAAATACAAAAAATTAGCTGGGCATAGTGGCAGGCGCCTATAATCCCAGCTACTCGGGAGGCTGAGGCAGGAGAATTGCTTGAACCTGGGAGGTGCAGGTTGCAGTGAGCCAAAATCGCATCACTGCACTCCAGCCCAGGAGACAGAGTGAGACTCCATCTCAAAAAAAAAAAAAAAAATTGTTTACTTCTTTCCACAACTCTATATTCCAATTTTATTTCTAATAATTAAATTAATATAATGTAAAGTAATGGAGTGTGGGTTTGAAAACAAAGAATTGGAGGCTTTGGTAAGTGTGGGTAAAGGTGAACCAAAAAATTAGTTGATAAGAAAACTGTGGCCGGGTGCGGTGGCTCATGCCTATAATCCCAGCACTTTGGGAGGCCAAGGTGGATGGATCACCTGAGGTCAGGAGTTCGAGACCAGACTGGCCAACATGGCGAAACCCCGTCACTACAAAAAATACAAAAATTAGCCGGGCGTGATGGTAGCTGCCTGTAATCTCAGCTACGCAGGAGGCTGAGGCAGGAGAATCACTTGGACCTGGGAGGTGGAGGTTGCAGTGAGCCAAGATCACGCCATTGCATTCAAGCCTGGGTGACAGAGCAAGACTCCATCTCAAAAACAAACACACACCACTGTGATATTTTTAAGTTCTTCCTCTACAGAAATTAAAACTAGAAATTATACTTACCTGGTTGTGGCTTCCGCAAGATAAAGAATGCAGACCCATCAGAGGCACATGCTTAAAGAAAGCATTTTGACTTTTCTGCAAAGATTGGCGGTGAATATACATTATAGATGTTCACATAATATAATGATTCCCTCTTCCATCCAGCTTTTTCCCCTTCCAATTGAGAAATTTGAGCCCCAGGAGTTCGAGACCAGCCTGGGAAGCATGGCAAAACCCCATCTCTACTAAAATACAAAAATTAGTCAGGCATGGTGGCATGCACCTATAGTCCCAGCTACTTGGGAGGCTGAGGTGGGAGGATTGCTTGAGCCCAGGAGGTCGGAGCTGCAGTGAGCCATGATCATTCCACTGCACTCCAGCCTGGGTGACAGTGTAAGACCCTATCTCAAAAAAAAAAAAAAAAGGGAAAAGAAATCAGTACATTAAAGAGATACCTCCTCTCCCATGTTCATTTTGACATTATTGACAATAGCCAAGATATGAAAGCAACCAAGATATGAATGGATAAAGAAAATGTGGTATAAATATGTATACACAATGGATACTATTCTGCCATAAAAAAGGAAATCCTGTCATTTGGATAATGCTGAAGGACACTGATAAGTAAAATAAGCCAGGCACAGAAAGACAAATACCACTTACATGTGCCTCACTTACACATGGAAACTGAAAAAGTCAAACTCACAGAAGCAGGGAGTAGAATGGTGGTTATCAGGGGCTGGAGTGTTTGGGAGATGTTGGTCAAAGGATAGAAAATTTCAGTAACACAGGAAGAATAAGTTCAAATGATCTATCCTATAACGTGGTGACTATAGTTAATAACAACGTATTGTTTAACCGAAAATTGCTAACAGATTTTAAGTGTTCTCACTACACACACATACACACACACAAATGTGAGGTAATGTTAGATTTAGCCATTCTGCAATGTATACATATTTCAAAGTATCATATCATATGACATAGGCATAATTTGTCAAAAAATTTTAAGTGTAAGGACATTAGAAAAAAAGATTATTTTCATGCATTTGTAAATAGAGGCTCTGCAGAAACATCCTTTGGCCCCCAGGGGGCGCAGGGCAGAATGAAGTCAGAGCTGAGGATTTGATCCCTGCAGTTGGCACGCTCTGGTTACCAGGGCTGCCACAGAGAATACAGAAAAAGTAGTTTATGTCCACTTCAGAGAACATTCACTGTGGGATGCTGGTAGACAAGGGTTGTATATATCTAAAGTCCACCTCTGGTTTTTGGTAAAGTGTAGTAAATATGCAAAAACTGCAGAAACCTCTACCCATCGTACCCTTCTGCTTGTGTGTCTATGTGTCTCTCTTTCTGTTTATCTTAATCACTGTGTGTGTGTGTCCCTGTCTCTCCCTCCCTGTCTCTGCAAAGGGGGAGCCCACAGTGTTCCAGGCTTTACTTCCTATAAGAAACACAAGAATACTGTTGAAAGTATATAAACTTGGCTAACTTATGCAAATTCACAGTTCTAAATGTTCTGCCAACAGGCTAAAATTGCAGATTTTTCCCTTCTAGTGGAAACAAAACTCAAGCAAACCCCTCCTGTATTCTCCTTTATATTTCAGAGAAATTTCTATTGCTTAGCTGTTTAGCATAGTTTTACTAATTGAACAGGATTTTTTTCCTCAGTTTTGTTTGTTTGTTTTTTTGAGACAGTCTTGCTTTGTCAGCAGGCTGGAGTACAGTGGCACAATCTTGGCTCACTGCAACCTCTGCCTCCCGGGTTCAAGTTATTCTCTTGCCTCAACCTCCCGAGTAGCTGGGACTACAGGAGCATGACACCAAGCCCAGCTAATTTTTGTATTTTTAGTAGAGATGGGGTTTCACCGTGTTGGCCAGGATGGTCTTGATTTCTTGACCTCGTGATCTACCCGCCTTGGCCTCCCAAAGTCCTGGGATTACAAGTGTGAGCCACTGCGCCTGGCCAATATTTTACTGAAGTGTTTCAAGCACTAACAGCACAATATTCACTGTAAGAATTTCATACACCAATATAATTACTGCATGAATGTCATTTATTGAAATTAACATTATTATGAATACATAATGGAAAAATGCTCCTCAAAAGAGGAAAGTGAATGTTAACCAGCAACAGGACAAAGCCATCCTCAGAAGACAGAGATAATCGGAAACAGTTTCACAGTTCAGTTTATGTATGTACACCGGGGTTAGAGTTCCTCTATGTCTGCGTCTCTGCAGATGCCAGGCTTTGGACCAGGAGGCTCAGGAATGTCTCCAGCCGCTTCCTGGATCTGTATGCAATGAGTCCTCCCTTGTTGGCCCACCGATCCACCCCAGCAGCACCCTCATTTTCCACGTGGTACACCAACTGTGGCAAATCAAGCCCTGTTTCTGGATTTCTTTCTAAGCATTCTTTCAAGTCTACTATTCCCCCACCCATGGCCCGCAGTATGGCATGAGCAGCACAAGAGTCCCACTTGAACGTGGTATCTTCTGAAAAGATGTAAATGTCAACGAGGCCTTGGACAACACAAAGGCTCTTATAACCAGCCCCAGCTGCCCCGAATATGCGATCTCCACATACACGTGACAATGCAGCTTTGATAGTCTCCTTTTCACTTGTACTAATGACGGCTGAAAAACTGGGGGAGAATGCTGCCTCAGAGCCTGTGTTTCCAGCGTGTATTTCACTGCCGCTCCTTCTAGAGATGGTGAGCTGAAGTGAATGCATGTTCGTCCCCATGTAAGAAAGGCCCCAATAGCACTGTCCTTTCCACCTGTGGAAGAAAAATTTCAATTGGTGATAATTATCACATTTGTTTTTCATTACTAATGTCACTTGCAAACTTAATGATATGAAGAAATACACAATTCATCATAACATGGTGAATCTTAACACCTTTAAGCCTAGGAATAGATATCAGGTAGCTAGTTTATTTCCGAAAGTTACTTATATGCGTGCAGCTGCCTGAGTTGTTGCAATTAGAAATGCTTTCAATTTTATGGCATTATCACATCAATCTAGGACAACACTAAAACATTTATGGGGTTTCCAGCTTCCAGAACCACTGCAAAATTTCATTACAACTTTTAGTATTTAAAGTTTAATAGGGAAAAAGGAATAGATAAGTGATCTCTCTTTTCAATCTGCAAACATTGTACAATCCTTATAACAAGGTTTTCTTTATTTGGTAACTCCTTTTCATTCTCTTATTCACTAGTTTCACTTTGGCTTCCAACACAAAGAAAGATGGACTCAATGTTATTAGTTTTGACAACCACAATAATTACAGCACCTTCCCTTTATCAATGCTTAACTTACTGTCTGTGTTGTTACATATTTACAGATAAGGAAACAGGCTTAGAGAAAGTAAGTAACTTCCTGAGGCCCACTCAGCTAGAAAGTGGTAGAATCTGCATTCAAACCCACAAAGTCTCACTCTGAATCTGTGCCACAAACTATTTTGTTGACTACCTCCATTACTAGGCCATGATTATGTCTGCATATTATTCCAATTCTTTTCAATTTCTTATTAACCTTTTAAAGATAGCAGAAACCCATTTTTAGTTTGGAAGATGGCGGGGGCAGGGGGAAAATATTAAAACTTAAGAGGTATAAACTTATGACTATTAAAGAGCAAATGATTGTTACTTGAAGCAACTCAAGGTTCAATAAAAACATGTAATCCTATATAAGTGAAAAAATATGACCTATTTCAATAAAAAGCTGAAGCTGCTTGTTCCACCTAGACTTTGCCATGCCCTGCTGGGTCCTGGCTGCTTTCTACACTCTGTTTAAGAGTACATGGAAGGGTGGGAGGAGGCAGAAAGGGAGTGTGAGTTAGGTTCTGATCCTGGCCATGCCTACCAATCTTTTCACAGGATAATTTTCACATTTTGTTTTGAACTTCTAAAATTATACCAAAGTTCAACTGGCTATACAGAGATGGCAGCTGTCTTATTCCCAATGTATTGGAAGGCAGTGTTACCACCACTTCACTAATCTGATTTTGAGTGGATTCTAGAAACAGGGAACAGGATTACTATATTCCAAATGTAAAACTATGATTTCTCCAAGATAGTATTAATTTTAAAATTTCTACCAGCATGTACTTGGCCTCAAATAAAATTATGCAAATCTAAGATTGAAAATAGAACTTTAATTCAAATATGCAGACTTTCAGTGTGAACACTCCTATGTGTTAAGTCATGGGAATGTCATATAGTGATAATCCTAACAATAAGCAAAGCTGAGGTCACAAGTTCTAACAACTATAATATACCAAAAATATTTGCCTGTTACCTGAGGGTGTTTGGGTCTCGTGACACAAAAGGTTGATTGATGACTCCCATCAGGGGAACCCCTGTCTGTATGTCATAGACACCAATTAAAATGGTGACACACTGAAGTCCACAGGGGAAGATTCCCTGGTTGGATTTAATGTCAGCAGAACCTTTTATATACTGATAAGTTGAATCTGAAAAAGGAAGCAAATGTGTTTGGATTCAGGTAAAGATTATTTAGAAGACTCTGTTCCATATCATTTCTCTCTTCTACTGATTTGGTAAGCAATAATTTTTTACCTTTGGATGTCACTGTATTGAATTGTTATTTGGCCTCTTGTACTTCTAAATTGCTTGTGTTTCATTTTTCCTGACTATGTGAGAACTCTTGAAGGGAGAGGATGTGTCTATAGTTCCTGTGGCATAGTGACTTGCATATAACAGGCATTCAAATATTTGTTACTTATCAAAAGCATTTAAAAAGTAATAACCAGAATAATTGGTGGGATTATTTTAGAAATACTACTAATCAGAGGACTAGTACAGTGTGAGATGGAAAAGCCTCCTTCCAATGGGTGAAAAAAAAAAAAGACCTACTATTTGATAGCACAATAGAGTAACTATAATCAATAAGAACTTAATTGTACATTTTAAAATAAAGAGTGTAACTAGATTGTTTATTACTCAAAGGATAAATGCTCAAAGGGACGGATACCCTATTCTCTGTGATGTGCTTATCTCACACTGCGCGCCTGTGTCAAAACATCTCATGTACCCCAGAAATACATACACTATTATGTACCACAAAAATGTTAAAAAGAAAAAGAAAAAAAGAAAAGCCCCCTTCCCGTAATCGGTCATAGGTAAAATTATCTTTTACTATTATTATTTGGTGCCTCAAGTTAGAAGGAAGAAAGAGACAATCAATGATGGTGGCACCAAAAAAAGAAAGTAACGGTGCTCCTATGAAACAGAGGCAGAGAAACTAGGTTTCCTCTTAAGAGATGTGCATGCCAGCAGCTGACTGCCGATGTCTAGGGAGTTAGCACACGGCTAAGGATGTGCCTGGCAAAAGATTTTCAAAGAGCTCGAAAACAGAATCAGTTCAGGGCAGAACCAACAAACAGGAGATCTCTGTCCCTCAGAAACTATAACTGATGCCAATTTACCCTTAAATGATCAAATATTTGGGGAAAGGTTTTTAGTTTCCATATATTATCCACTGGCTGAATGTGATATAATTATCTGAAGATTAAACCTATTTCAATATCATCCTGTGAATACACTTGTAGGATGGGAAGGGCCCAGGGAGGAGTTTGCCTGCTCCTTGAATGGTCCTATTGTGTTGGGTGGGGAAGAAAAAAAAGGAAGGGGGGGCTTATTAAAATTATTACCTAGAACTTTGTATTAATAGCATCATTGAAAATAAAGGCTGGCTGGGCGTGGTGGGTTATGCCTGTAATCCTAGCACTTTAGGAGGCCAAGGCGGGCAGATCGCTTGAACCCAGGAGTTTGAGACCAGCCTGGGCAACATGGTAAAAACCCCTTCTCTAAAAACAATATAAAAAATTAGCCTAGTGAGGTGGCATGCACCTGTGCTGCCTACTTGGGTCCCAGCTGGAGGATCGCTTGAGCTCAGGAGGACAAGGCTGCAATGAGTTCTGACTGTGCCACTGCACTCCAGCCTGTGTGCAACATGAGACTCTGTCTCAAAAAAAAAAAAAAAAAGAAGGGTAGAAGGGTTACACTTTGGAAACAATGGATTATATATTACGGTTCTATCACAATCATGACCAAAATAATGTAGAGCTTATACAGGGCTCACAAACTGCTCATGCGTCACATTAAGCTTTTTGCTTGACCTGTACAGTGCTTTTTTGATTGTTTGCTTGTTTAACTGAATTAGTAGCTAATGGTTAGGAATTGGGATATATCGCTGAAAACCTTGGATCTTGGTTTCTCTTTAAAAATCTGAAGAGCTGGCCTGGACTCCCATATGGCAACAATCTGCTAAAGCTAAGTGCTCTTTAAATGGCATGTGTGCTCAATTGGTCATAACTGCTCTCACTTCATCCTCTCATTTACTTACCAGTCTTTTGAAGATAAGTTAGTTCATCTTGGCATGTGTGCCTGTATGTGTGTACCTGTTATAGATATGTGTATATAGACACACAGCTATAATATATATGTATTTATACAGAACACATGACACATACACCTCAACTCTCATTGTTTTAAAACTTTAAATTTTTAAAAACTTCTAGGAGAGTTAAACTACACTCAATAATTTTTATTTTTCCAACCCCCCCCCCCCGCCCACCGCCACCACCAAAAAAGATTGTAAATAACAAACATACTCTCCTATACTTACCTATGGGGTCCACCCAAATTCCCAAAATGTCCTGTGGAACATTGATCTCCGTGGAATCCAGAGTTGGGTCAGTAAAGGCAACATCCTGATGAACAACCCTGGCTAATGCTTCAGATGCCACCTTGTTACCATTGAGGACTTTGCTAAGAAGCTCTGCTGTTTCTTCCTCTGTTGAACACAACCTCAAGGTAATCTTTTCCCCTAGGGTAAAGCCACACGATAAACCATTACATTTCAAGAGTTTCAGTGGAGAAAGAACAGAGAGAGACAGAGCAAAAGAGTGAGAGACACAGAGAGAGCGAAAGAGTGAAAGAGACAGAGAGAGACACACACAGAGAGTGAGAGAGAGTGAGAGAGACAGAGAGCGAGAGAGACAGAGCGAGAGAGACAGACAGTGAAAGAGCGAGAGATAGCGACAGCGAGAGACAGAGAGAGTGAGACAGAAAGCAAGAGAGACAGAGAGCAAGAGAGACAGCAAGAGAGACAGAGCGAGAGAGACAGAGACAGCGAAAGAGACAGCGAGCAAGAGAGAGACAGAACAAGAGAGAGCAAGAGAGTGAAAGAGACACAGAGTGAGAGACAGAGAGACAGCAAGAGAGACAGAGAACAACAGAGACAGAGAGCGAGCAAGAGAGACAGAGCGAGAGAGCGAGAGACAGCAAGAGAGTGAAAGAGACAGAGTGAGACACAGAGAGAGAGAAAAAGAGAGAGATAGTGAGAGACACACAGAGAGAGAAAAAGAGAGAGCGAGAGAGATAGCGAAAGAGTGAGAGAGAGCGAGACAGAGAGCAAGACAGGGAGAGTGAGAAAGCAAGCAAAAGAGACAGAGAGTGAGCTAGCGAGAGAGTGAATCAAAAGCTGTACACAGATTAAGTGAGGGCGATATATCCATCCCAGCAGTTCCTAAGCCTGGCTGACTGCCAGAATCACCTGGCGGGGCTTCATCAAGGCAGATGCCCAGTGGCTACCCACACACTTAACCTGAATAGTAAGGGATGGGTTTCAGGAAATCAAAAGACCTCCCTAAAAAATGCCCATGTGGGCACAATTTTGTATCCCAGTTAAGGGACACATTGTCAGTTAATAATTCCTGAATTCCTGATCATTAATCTTTTTAAAATTTGGCTTTTGATTTTTTATATACTTAAGTCACCCTGTCTATGTCTGAATATGTTATTGAAAAGAATGGAGGTTTTTCAGCACACCAAAGTGCTTCTACCTCTTTATAGATACTGCTTTTAACTTAAAATTGTTTAAGCTAAGTAACATAAAATGGTATATACTAATCTTTAAATGTAGTAAAACTTTATGCCTCTAAATGGTATACATATAAATAGCTCTCCTCTGTGGGGCCCATTGAGAACCAGAACATAAGCAAAGCTGCTGCTTCAAATGATAAGTTACCGAGGCCAGGTGCTTTACCATCACTTTAAACATGCTTCTTAGACCCTTGATTAATCTGGTTTCAGCCCTTGACAGAAGTGAGGGAAGAGGCTGGTAAAAAATAGGCAAGTTAATAGCAACAAGAGGTGACAGCAGTGGAGGAAAAAAAATCTTAAAAACTAAGAAAACATGGCACTTCGGAACGTTTTAGATACTCCTGCTATCTAGTAGCTATCTAGGTAGCTACTTCTACCCTTCTTATTCCAAGGGCCAGCAGTGTTTCTATCAGCTGCGAGCTTATTAGAAAGTCAGAACTTGAGGCCGGGCGTGGTGGTTCATGCCTATAATCCCAGCGCTTTAGGAGGCCGAGGTAAGCAAATCACTTGAGGTCAGGAATTCCAGACCACCCTGGTCAACATAGTGAAACCCCTGTCCCTAATAAAAGTTTAAAAAAATTAGCTAGGCATGGTGGCACACGTCTGTAATCCCAGCTACTTGGGAGGCTGAGGCAGGACAATCGTTTGAATTTGGGAGGCGGAGGCTGCAGTGAGCCAAGATTGTGCCACTGCGCTCCAGCCTGGGTAACAGAGGGAGACTCCATCAACAACAACAACAAAAAAAATCAGAACCTCAGACGCCACCCCAGACCTACTGATTTTTTTGTTTGTTTTTTGTTTTTGTTTTTGTTTTTGAGACGGAGTCTCACTCTGTAGCCCAGGCTGGAGTGCAGTGGCCGGATCTCGGATCACTGCAAGCTCCGCCTCCCGGGTTCACGCCATTCTCCTGCCTCAGCCTCCCGAGTAGCTGGGATTACAGGCCCCCGCCACCACACCCGGATACTTTTTTTTGTATTTTTTCAGTAGAGACGGGGTTTCACCGTATTAGCCAGGATGGTCTCGATCTCCTGATCTCGTGATCTGCCCGCCTCGGCCTCCCAAAGTGCTGGGATTACAGGCGTGAGCCACCGAGCCTGGCCGACCTACTGAATTTTAACAAGATCCTGAGGCGATTACATGACCAGTTAAGTATGGGGAGCACAATCGACATGTATTACAGTGATGACTGAATCAGCAAGAAATAGTCAAGTTTAGTTAAATTAACTTAATTCAAAGTAAATTAGACTGTTCAAAGTAAATTAAGTTGGGGAATAGTAAAACTAATAACAGCTTCTTACTGCACACCTACTCTGGGCTCGGAAAAACTTATGGGATCATTCAAAGGAACAAATTATATTACCACTTTTGTTGAAATTTGCCAGAGACCTCTCATCCCACTGAGAGGGAAATCTAAATCCCCTCCTATGATCTGGTCTTGCCTGCAATATCATCATCGCCATCTCTCCTCTTCCCCTCTCCACATTTCTCTGCCCTTTTAACAAACAGGAAAATGGATATGGCTATGCCTTTTCCCCCTATAATTCTAGACAAATGATGTATTAAAAAAACTGTGCAGTAGTCAAGTGTAGATTTTTAAATGTAAGATTGCTTGTAAGTCAGGTGTAAGTGTTATTTTTAACCTTCAGAGGTTTAAATGGTATTTCTTTCCCTTCTTACTAACATAGAACTAACTACATCTTAATATATGGTGCATGAAGGAGACTACAAAATTTTCAGAGTTAATCTAGAATTCATTTTTTCTTTGTAATTGTGTTTCTAGATATTTAAGTATTTGTCACACGATCAGTGTTTAATGTTCACTATTTTATTCTTCTACTATTAAACAAATCCAAACAAACTAAAAAAAAAAAAAAAGTGTTTCTCTGAAAGTAATCAGATTACCTGAGGTCAGGAGTTTGAGACCAGCCTGGCCAACACTGTGAAATCTCATCTCTAACTAAAAATACAAAAATTAGCCGGGTGTGGTGGCACACGCCTGTAATCCCAGCCACTTGGGAGGACGAGGCAGGAGAATCCCTTGAACCCAGGAAGTGGAGGTTGCAGTGAGCTGAGATTGTGTCACTGCACTCTAGCCTGGACAACAGAGCAACTCTGTCTCAAAAACAAACAAACCAAAAAACTTAGTACTAAAAGGAAGCTTTTAGTTAGTCCACGTACTTCACAGAGGTTCTGAGACAGAAATGATGAGGTGATTTGCTCAAGATCACACAGTAAGTATTTCAGAGCCATGGCCTCCTCTGAACTTTTAGCTGAGGTCCATGGACTTCCCCAAGAGTGCACAGATGGGTTTAAACCTAGGATCTGATATTGTCTGCACAATTGTGTAGATGGGCATCTTTGGGGCTTTGATAACTTACATTAGATTCCCAAAGGGCCATGCGATTTTCCCAAAGCTTGAGTTATAAGTTACTTAAATGCCACAGATTTATATCTAAAATGATACATGGACTTGCTAAATTATTCTGAGATAGCATATCTCTCTACTTAAGTTAAATGGCATGACATTCTGAGGTAGAAATTTAATGAACCTTAACATTCAAATATATTATGTTGTTTACAGTAAGTGGCTTCCAAACATTTAGTTCATGGTATAAATTAGAGATTAGAATACCATGTGATAATTAAATTACAAAGACACATTAAGATTCTTATACTTACCCAAATCATTAGTAAACTCATTGGATTCTTCTCCAAAAATATGTTTTTCCAAGCCTGGAAACTGAATGATTCAGAATATGATGAAAAATAAAACAAAAACCCATATACATGTTCAATTCTGAACAGATTTCAATGTTATATTTCAAATTAAATAGCACAATCAGAACTAAAATTCCAAAATTTCCAATTCTAGAAACCAATCCAAGTATAAAAAAACGAAGTCAGCTTGGCTCAGTGCTTAATTTTCTAATATTTTTCTGCCCTTTTGCCCCTCTAGAAAGTCAAAATCATGGTAGATGCTTGGTTCCCTTATGTCCTGTTTAGTTAGCAAAAGTACTTCTAGAAACTTCATCCTTCTATTTAAGAGCCATAGAATTCGAATATTTACAAAGGACATGTTTTAACTCTTGCTCTTAAACAGCATCCTAGTAGCTTATACAAGGTAATTTTGTTGATCAAGTATCTAAAAGCATGACTTGAGACTGGATAGAAGGAGTTAGAGGATAACATTCAATTTTGTTTTCATTTCCAGGCGTTTGTTTCCCTACTCTCAGATGTATCATCATTCAGGCTAGGAAGGGGATATGAAAAAAAAGAAAGATTTTATTGACCAATAATTTAAGCATCAATATATAGAGTGAATAAATGGAGTCAAGTAAGGATCTTCTGTCATCTCTGTATGATCATGAAGCTTTCTGATACATTTTGCTTCTAATCCTTTCTGTAGTAAAGATAATTTTTCTCAAAATGTGTGCTAAAATTTGATACACATGATGTTCTCAGGGAACAAAAGCAAGGACATGCTTCAAATATTTGAACTCGGTCATTTGCAGATGACAAATAGCTTTAATAATGCCCACAACCACTTAGTATTCATATTATTTTGTGGAACAGTACAAATCAACAAGGGCTGGCAACCAGCCCATTCATCAAGGGCTGACACTCAGTCTCCCAAGCCTGCTTAAAGACCAGTTCTGAGACTACAAGACAAAAGGCTCATGAAATAAAGATATTTTATACAGCTAAAATGGAATATCATTTATTTTAGCTCATGAACAAATAACCGCCTGAACTTTTTATAATGCTTTGAGGCAAATATTAGCCCATAAAAATTAATGTTGATACATTTTTAATCCAGTTGCTCAACCATCCCTTGCACCCAACTATATTGATAAGTAAAAAACAAAAATAAATTTGCTTCATTTAGTTTATTGGAGTCAGATTTCATATGACATGAAAAAGTATAGTTTGTAGAGATTTCATGATGGCATTTAGTCTCTTCACCTGTGGTCAAGATTTCACTTAAACGATTCTAAATGGTTCTCAATATTTTGAAAATTTCATAGAAATTATTCCAATATTTTATAATGCTTTCTGCCATAAAGTTCTATTCTCCCAAATGTAATGGTTACATTATCATATAAAAGGCAATATAATATTGCAAAGAATGCAGACTCTGGAGTCAGTCTTCCTGTGTTCAAAAACTGGTCCTACCATTTACTTGCTGTGTAACCTTAGGCAAGTTACTTAACCTCTCTGTGCCTCCCTTCTTTCACCCATTACATTGTAACAGTAGTTCTTACTTCATCAAATTGTTATAAGAGCTAAATAAGTTAATATATTTAAAGACTTTAGAATAGTGGCTGGCACATAGCGTTTATAAGTGCTGCTAGTATTATTATTTCTATTTATTAACACAGTTTCTTTCTTTAGTCAGCTCCAGAAAGTTAGAGTCGCAATCATTGTTATATTAACATATTAACATGTTTATATGTTTATAACAAATAACAATATTTTTCTACTAGAATAAAGGAGACTTTAAGTCTCCAGGTACAATCTCATAACTGAAGCAACCATTATATAAATGATGAGAGCCACAAGGTAGAACTTAATATATCAAGTTAAAAAAAAAAAAAAACCGGTTACAAAGCAGAGCGCTGTCATTTCTGTTGCAATACATTGTATGGGTCATGTACACACATACACACAGAAGGAAAATGTTATAATATTTAGCAAAGCACAGCTGTGGTTTTCTCCAGTGGTGGGACTAAAAGGGTTCTTATTTTTGCTTATTTTCCAGAAAATATGTATTATTTATTAAAAAGAAATTCATTAGTAAATGAAAGGTTCTATACTGAAGTGTATATTTCTAGGTATTATAATTGTGAGTGATTTTTATTTTCTTATTTGATTTTCTGTATTTTAAAGATTTCCTGCAATGAACATTTTATCAATATTGTAATCATGACAAGGAGGAAAAAAATCCAGGATGTTTACCTGAATTCAAGGTGCTAGTACAATGATAGAGGTGAGGTGTAAAAGGCATGCTATTTTATGACGGGGAAAGCCACAGATGCAACTATTTTGCAATTACCTTGGCTGTGACCTTTCTCACCTTGTTCTCCATATTCTGTTTTATAACTTCCTGTACCAGTACATCAGCCAGCGTCTTGAAGTCAACTGCAAACTTCTTGTTCTTTTCTTCCTCTTTCTTTTCTTCAATCAACAGCTGGAAGAGGGCCTCCTGCTGCCTGCATGCCCGGGCAATGTTAGCAGCCTTCTCAGAGACACAGAGCAGTTCCCGGAGGATATCTGACATTTCTGAACCTTGCTTTTCAGTTGCAGCTGCTGGTGGAATTGGCACCCACCCTCTGGGCCGTCAGCTGGAAAAATACAAGAATGTGAAAGAGAAAGCAGTTCAGAGAGTGATGTCAGGGTGCCTCTGGCACTACCAACAACCCATCTGGCAGTCAACCTGGTCAGCCTGGTGAACAGCTAGTCTATATCATCTTCACATCCTCAGTGTGGAAGACTCTAGATATAATCTAAAATTTGCAGCTTATTGTTTTAAATCTTGAAAAGAAATTTACACTCTCAAAGATATACCAAAAATTAAATTCTCAGTGACAGAAAAATCTTTGAATGAAAATCTAAATTCCTAGAGAGACAGGCAGATGGACACACAAGCCCAATGCTAAAGGCAAGCCAAATTCTTGTAATGACCTTAGAATGATCACATAGGCTTAGCAGCAGTATTGAAGTAGTGCTTTCTTTCACCCTGTGGGAAGAAGGGAGAAGAAATGGATGAGGACTTACGCTGTCAGTTCCAGGGCAACTTTCTTTTTTTTTTTTTTTTTTTTTTTTTGAGATGGAGTCTTGCTCTGTCACCCAGGCTGGAGTGCAGTGGCGCGACCTCGGCTCACTGCAAGCTCCACCTCCGGGGTTCACGCCATTCTCCTGCCTCCGCCTCCCCAGCAGCTGAGACCACAGGTGCCTGCCACCACACTGGGCTAATTCTTTGTATTTTTAGTAGAGATGGGGTTTCACCGTGTTATCCAGGATAACTTTCTTTTTCTTTTTTTCTTTTTTGAGATGGAGTCTGGCTCTGTCGCCCAGGCTGGAGTGCAGCGGTGCAATCTCGGCTCAGTCCAAGCTCCACCTCTCAGGTTCACACCATTCTCATCCTCAGCCTCCCAAGTAGCTGGGACTACAGGTGCCCACCACCACACCCAGCTAATTTTTTTGTATTTTTAGTAGAGATGGGGTTTCACCGTGTTAGCCGGGATGGTCTTGATCTCCTGACCTCATGATCTGCCTGCCTGGGCTTCCCAAAGTGCTGGGATTACAGGCGTGAGCCACCATGCCTGGCCTGTCCAGGGCAACTTTCTAAAGTAGTAAGTACCAGACCAGCTAGCACCTTTTTTGTTGTTTTTGAGACAGGGTCTCACTCTGTCACCCAGGCTGGAGTGCAATGGTGTGAACACAGCTCATTGCAGCCTTGACCTCCCGGGCTCAAGTCATTTTCCCACCTCAGCCTCCTGAGTAGCTAGGACTACAGGTGCATGCCACCACGCCAGGCTAATTTTTGTATTTTTTGTGGAGATGGAGTTTTACCATGCTGGCCAGGCTAATCTCAAACTCTTGGGCTCAAGTGATCCTCCTACCTCAGCCTCCCAAAGTGCTGGGACTACAGGTATAAGCCACTGCGCCCAGCCTCAGATCAGCAAGCACTGTGTGTCCTGCAAGACCCTGAGGTCATTCTTCTGCTAGTAGCACGAGCCATCTCATTGCCAACTCCCTCACATGCCGTTAAAAAAAGGCCCACTATCTATGCTGCTCCTTTACCCAGTAAAAGGTTGAATAATGAGGTGAAACATGCAACTTGTTGACACTTGAAAAGTTCTGGCTTCTAGGAGTGTTGTGCTATCAGACCTTGATTATATCTGTTAGGGATTTCTTGCAATTAGGAGAGAAACAGTTCTCATTTTTAATAGCAGCTACCTCTTACTGAAAAAGCTTGAAAAATTCCTATCTCATGAGAATTACTGTGAGTATTATCAACCCTGTTTTACAGTTAAGCTGAAGCATAGCAAGGTTAAGTAACTTCAGGGTTACGGAAGGCTAAACTGCAAGGCTTGGCATTGCTCCTACACACAAGCCCAGGCTCTTTATTATCATAATACAGTTTCCTTCATTAAAAGAAATTCCCTTAATAGGCCAGGTATGGTGGCTTATGCCTGTAATCCCAGCATTTTGGAAGGCCAAGGCAGGTGGATCACTTGAGGTCAGGAGTTCAAGACCAGCCTGGCTAACATGGTGAAACCCCGTCTCTACTAAAAATATAAAAATTAGCCAGGACTGGGCACAGTGGCTTACGCCTATAATCCCAGCACTTTGGGAGGCTGAGGCGGGTGGATCACCTGAGGTCAGGAATTCAAAACCAGCCTGGCCAACATGGTGAATCTCTACTAAAAAAAATACAAAAATTAGCCGGACATGGTGGCCCACACCTGTAGTCTCAGCTACTCGGGAGGCTGAGGAAGAGAATCGCTTAAACCTGGGAGGTGGAGGTTGCATTGAGCTGAGATTGCACCACTGCACTCCAGCCTGGGTGACTGAGCAAGACTCTGTCTCAAAAAAAAAAAAAAAAAAAAAAAAAATTCCCTTAATGGACTCTGGGAGGCTGAGAATTAGTACAACTCTGAAGATGTGGATGCAATGGGAGTAAGATGTAATTTGTAATAGTCTTAAACAATTTTGCTAAAAAATATGTTCTCTCCTTAAGATTATAGGTCAACCACTATGAGAAAATATGTCCAGTCTCAGTAGTAATAAAAATAAAAGGGCACAAAAGCAATGAGATATCCTCTTTCACTATTGCATATGTTTTAAAGTTTACATTCCCTCTTGGAGATGTGGTGAAACAGGTGCTGATGCTCTGCTAATAGGCATGCAAACAAGTTAGGTTTCCAGAGGGCAATCTGACAAAAATGTGTCAAGATCCCTATAGATGTCACTGCCTTTAGTCAGTAACTCCAGTTTTTCCTCAATTTGTGTTAAGGCAATCAGGGTTGAGTTAAAATATTTCTGCACAAGGAGGATTAATATTACAACAATTTGAAAATAATCTTAAATATTGGTAAAACAAAATAATATACAGTCGGTAAAATCATGTTTTTGAAGAATATTTAATAATATGGAAATATGCCAATGCACTAATGTTAAGTGGAAAAACTACCTATGACCATATATAATTTGAGAGTATGTTATCCATTTGTATTTATACACATACACAGAGAGAAAGAGCTTGAAAGGAAGATTAGTAGGTGATGTTTTAATGGTAGTTATGACTGAGTAATGGAATTATGGATGATTTAATTATGCTTTTCTATAATTTTCAAATACTCTACAGTAAATATACAATGCTTTTATAATAATAAATTACATTTTTTAAGTGTTTTGGGGCAATTAAGTATGAAGGTCTAAGAATCTCTCAGCTCCTTGAGGCAAATGTCTAAATAAAACGAGACTGTGGTAATAATGCAGAAAGCTTTCAGGTGATAGAAAGGATCTAGTGAAAACTCAAACAAAAGCACCTGCCCGCCTAAATGCCTTTTATTTCAGGAATGAATGCTTTGTAGGAACACTTACTTTAGTTGACTTGAATCTAAACATTAGGAAAAACAGCTGCATTAATAAAGCTGAGGCACGTTGCCTTAGAAATAATTGATGGTATATATGACATATATATGCCACAAATTATAAGTTACATATAATATACAATCACAAATATACATACATATCTCAGTATAATACATGGCCACAAAAGCATACATTCAGTAACCTTAATTTTTATTTCTTAGTAAATGTTCTGTGGTTACAAGGCAGAAGAATCAATGAATCAACAGTATCAATATAGCTTTTTATCAGCAGCATGAAGATCTCAAGGAGTCCAATTTGAAAGCTTTCAAGATACACAATATCCGCAGTGTTTATTTTATTCAAGTGTTAAAATCAATTTTTTTTTTCTTAAAAGAAACTGTATGAACTACACTGTTGGATAACCAAGAAACACTCCTTATAACACCCTAAGAACACTCAGGCAAGCTACTCACCCTGGCTACAAGCTCCAGAAATCACCACCACTCCCTTCTCTCACGCAGAAAGCTTGTCAATTTAACCCTAATGAGTTTCAGCACAAGTGCAGCAGTAATCTGGAGTTTGCCCTCTTTGGGCCCAACCTTTATTTCCTCAATAATGACCACTCTCACCTGACCTGAGCAGCTGCTGCTTAGCCAGCACAGCAACTTGACCAATGGGAAAGAACTACTGGCTATTCACTGCAGCCCTGTAATGAACAGGTCTACAGATTTTAGGAATTCCTCATAACACAATAATCAGGTTTTTCAGTTCCAAGGTTATCCCAGAGTTCGCTCTTCGTTTTGGCCCTAGGCAACACTGTCATATTTTGTCAAGTTCCAGGTTGAACTGCCCAGTTTCAGATTGAAACCACTTTCTCCAGCTAAGCTAATGAACCCAGCATTTGTTCAGGGCCTTTCTCCAAGGCCCTGGCTCTCCATATATTCTCAACTCAGTTCACACAGGCAGGCCACAAGCCTGAGGTGAGCATTGCACAATTCATCCTCACCTTGAATGGCTCAACTTGAAATAGTTTGTCTATGGAGAAACTGAAGGCTACATCTAATGCAGAATTTCTTCTTCCATTTTATCAATACATTTTATTAAAACTCGTGGAAATTATCTTTCAGATGATTTTTTAAATTTTTTATTTATTTTTTCAACTTTTATTCTAAGTTCAGGGGTACATGTGCAGGTTTGTCATATAGCTAAGCCCATGTCATGGGGTTTGTTGTACAGATTATTTCATCACTAATGGGTACTGACAATAATGGGCTTGATACCTGAGTGATGAAGTAGATGATTTTTTTAAAAGTAAGTTTACATACTCATTATTCACCTAAGACCGTTTTATTTCAACATTATACTTTAAATAAAAATTATTATAGACTTATGATTAGTAAGTTATGGCATTTACCATAATTTAATAGCCTTGACTATAGAATCCTTTTTGATTAGTATTTCTCAATGGATGTTCTGAGAATTACCTGTATCAGAATTACCCAAGATGGCCTTCTAAAAAAACAGATTGCTGGACTCTACCCCAGCTTAGTGAATCAGAATCTCTGGAGACAAGACCTAGGAATCCGTATTTTTGTCAGCATCCTGTATAACTCTAAACACTGAGATTTAATAGCTCCAGTTCTCCAGGTTGCTTATTTTTCTTTACCTCTACACTGGCAATTTTGGTGGCAGCTGGCACCTGCTGGCAGGTATCTTGGTGAAACAGTATAGGTACAATGGT